ACGGAAATCATCGTGCGCTTAAATATATCTCCTCTTTTTTTAACACACCAGCAGCAAGAGGTAGGAAAAGGCCAAACAATCAGTGGTCTGGGAGCAGAAAGTGAACTTAAACTTCGGCTCTCACACGCTCTCTATCGCTGTCCCTGGCGGCCTCAAAAGCTGACAATTGGCGGGCGTCAGACTGCAACGGCTCCTTCCTAATGCGACGTTTATGACGCTTCAAATGAGTTGGAATAAGGGCCGCCTCCTCCTTTCTACCAGGACCTGCTCAAACGTGCGCGGACCAGGTCGTGTGTGGCACGCGTAGACGGGTTGTTTAGCTTAGCAATCACTACGTCCGATCCTGTCTCCGGTCGTCGTTCCCCTGTAGCGCAGCTGGGCTGAGAGGGGGAGGGAGGAAAGTGTGCGACAGACTCCATGCGATTCACTGTTGTGCGCCTGTCATTCTCTGGGGCACATAGGGGAAGATTTCGTTCGCAAGGGCCCTACAGATACTTCTACCCTTAATTAAAGGTGATCAGTTGCTAAGACACCGGGTCAGAGTACGTGATAAGTATCACCACGGTACTCAAAGATATTTTATTAAGTCGTTGACGAACGTTCACCCGACCGGTAACGGAACCCATCTGTCCCGCTCTGCCTGGGGCCGCAACAGAGGCCCTGGCAGCTGTAGCAGCTGGTAGTATAGGCAGACGGTATTGCCGGCAAAGGCAAGGGAGACTAAAATGGCAATTTCTGGCTGATTAGCCGTGGTCAGCCAGTCATCCCCAGACCCAAGTGATGTCACACCTGAGCCTCGAACTCGCGACCTTTTGATCAGAGTCGACTGCCCTACCCATTGAGCCACGAGTTCGTTGTCTTGCCGGTTTTAGGTCGAGTATATTGGCACTCGTTGACAAACATGGTGGTATCTGTGATGGAATCACTGCAGGAATTGAAAAAGTTTTCTCTGTCCGTCCATTTGCAGTCATATGCACTGAGTCATTTCCATAAGAAAATGGCAAAATAAGTCCCTATAGCTGTTCAGATTTGGCAATTTTTTAAACAAAAGCTCTGAATGAGAACGTAAATCGCGCGAACCCAGAGCAGTTCTCTTATGAATAAATTATTTTTATTTTCATTAAGTTTGCTGACGGCTCACTCTTTGTTGAACGTGGTGAATTCAACTCCATTAAAGCCTTCAGCAAAACGAAACTGGCCAATGTAATGCATGGTATAATTCTGGCCAAAAAGTTCAAGAATACAAGTGTCATCCCAGTGAGCCTGCATCCGGGCTACGTCCTGCCACAAGTTGGGGTAAGAATAAATTGTCTTGTGTAGAAGTAAAACATCCTTTTATTTTTTCTTTTGCGAATTGTCCGTACTGTGCCAATATAGCGATGGTTGGTTTAGTAGGTGACGTACGTTTGAACTGAGATGGCTATCTAAAAGAAGATGACATTAAAGAAGGTAGTATTAAGATGAGTAGTGGATGTTTTAAATAGATACTAAAATGACTACTATATGCCCATCAGTAGATTAATATGCGAAAAAATTCGACGTCCAGATAAAATATTCCTTTCATCATCCCCGGAAGAGAAATAAATCGTCTTTTCTTTCTCCTCCTCCGGGGATGATGAAAGGAACATCAGTGGGTGTAATTATGCATATTAATTATAGTTGGTGTAGTAGTAATTGCAGATGGGTTGCTTCTATCTCAACCCGTCCTGCTACTACGTCCTCGACTCTTATTTCCTTTATTTCCTGTAAGTGAAATAAATAATGGGAAGCGCGGTCACCCATTTGCCATGAGTCCATCTCTTGCGTGACTGCGTAATTCCCCGGACTTACATGTAGATAGTGATATCCTAGACTGCCATCTTCTTCTGTACTGGTCACTTGAGAGTGAAACCTAGTGAGCCGATCTGATGATATGATAGGAAAGAGACAGTCAGTTTTATCTCGGAGAAAAGGGAAGTCCTCACAGGCAGCCGCACCATGATGATCCGGTAAGAATATAATAAGTGCACCCGCGTTCTTGTTACTATGAGCTTTTCTACTTGTGTGCTTTAGGTTGGCCTTTAATACCGTTGCTATAATCAGATCAGTGGGCCCTGAGTTATTGTATGTTTGCATGTATTAATGCTAAGCTTCTTTGCTTGGAGGTAGGGTAAAGGTTAGTTTTAGGGTTCGATTTGAACTTAGGCATGGGGTTAACGATCCGCTAGCCGTTTTTCGAAT